CCCAAAACTAACTAACTCGGGAGGAGGATGTAGCTCAGTGGTAGAGCATGTGCTTAGCACGCACAAGGTCCTGGGTTCAATCCCCAGTACCTCCGTTAAAATTTTTTTAAATTAAAATAAATAAATAAACTTAATTACCTCGCCCCCCCAAAAGAAATCATTTCTAAAAATGCAAAAACTTTTTTAAAATCTAAAAAACAACCTAATTAATTAGGAAAAGCATTGTACAAAATTACTTTTAAATTCCTTTACAATGCTGGTGACTGGATACAGCAAGGATGACAACAGTGCACCACGGGGCTTGTACAATATGCAGAAGTGACCTACGTGACTGCAGCGAAAATCACAATGATGCCAATGTAAGTTCTTACACTGAACGCTAAGTGGCACAGGGTTAACTCCAGGTAGACTATGATCAGTTAGAATTTGTACTGTCACCCTTAGAGCAAACAAGACATAAGAGTACACAGCACTCATAAAGCTAAAAACAGATAAAGGAGGTGAAATAATTACCCAATTAATCCAAAAGAGGGCAGAATGGAAAAACAAAGGTAAAAGACCAGATGAGACAAACAGAGTAACAAGCGGTAGACCTAAACCCAAACCTACCAGTAATTATATAATAAACACAAATGTACTGAACAGTCAGATTAAAGAATAAGACAGCAAAATGGATTACAAACAAAACCCGGTTAAATGCTGTTCACAGGAGACTCACTTTAACATTTCAACAGGTGAGCTGAAAGTAGAAAGAAGACGTGTCATGCAGAGCCTGCCTACAAGAAAGCCAGCTGGTTATGTGATACTCAAGCTAAGTGAACTTCAAGGTCTATGACGTAGATCGTATGCTGTGTCATAAAAACATTTCTCAATTTCCAGAGGAAAGGACATTTCACAGTGAAGAGAAGGCACGCTCAACAGGAGGGTCCGACAATCCGACAGGTCATTAAGCCCAGGAACACAGCTTCAGAATACACGAAGCAAAACCTGATAAAGAATATTCAGGGGTACAAAATACTAAGTATAAAATAGAGAAGCAACAGGATATATCGCACAGCACAGGGAAACATAGCCATTGTTTTGTAATAACTTTAAATGGAGTATAATCCATAAAAATACTGAATCACTATGTTATATACGAATCTAACATAATATTGTAAATCAACTATACCTCAATAAAAAAGAAAGTTATGCCATCTTCAGAAAAAATTTTTTTTTAAGTTTTCATCACAAGAAACAAAAAATTATAGCTATGTGGTGATAGATTTTAACTCAACTTAATGTGGTGATCATTTCACAACATACACGTGTATCAACCATACTGTAGTATATATACCTTAATGTAATACAATTTTGTATGTCAATTATATCTCAATAAAATTGGAAAAAATTGTTTAAAAATTTACATATATACAAATGCAGCCACAGCTGGAGATTTAGCACTCCTCTGTCAGTAGCCGAGAGAACAAGCAGATGAGGAAATTCCAGGAGAATTAAGTATGCAACACACCTAACTTGACTGACATTTATCAACTGTGCCCAGCAAGAGGAGAATACACATTCACTACAATAGATCGTACACTGTGTCATAAAAACATTGCTCAATACATTAAAAGGAATGAATTCATAGAATAGGTTCTTTGACCACAATGGAATTCATCTAGCCGTCAACAACAAAAAACTCGTATTTAGAAATTACAGTGAATATTTCACAAATCAAAGAAGAAATGAGTTTCATATATTCAAAGAACAGACCAGTAATGAAAATGTAACACACGAAAATGTGCAGGATGCAGTTAAAATAAGGCTTAAAAGAAAATGTGTAGCTATAAATGCAAACATTAGAAGGATTAAAGTCAACGACATAAGCTCCCGCCTCAAGAAACCAGGACAAAGGAAAGCAAATTAAATCAAGACAAAGGAGGGAAATAATACAGTGGGGAAACCAATGGAACAAAGGAGAAAAAATACAATCACGACAATATATTCACATATTTAACAAAGTACAACACCCATCCACGACAAAACTCAGCAGACAAGGAACAGTCCTCAGTCAGGCACAGGGCATGGGATCATATTTAAGGGTGAAATGCTGACTGCTGTTCCTTAATATCAGTAACCAGGCAAGGACGTCCACTCTCACTTTTATTCAATATTGTGCTGAATAATCTACAGTGACAGATACCAGAGCGACAGCTGCCACCTCTGCGCACACTAACTGGAAAGGGACTCAAAAGGAAAGTACAGGGAGATGGAAACACTCCACGCGTGGATTAGAGGGTGTGTTACACAAGTACACAGTTGTAAACCTTTACTGGACTGAACTCTTAAGGACAGCATGTCTCACTGTACGTTAACTACACACCAATATTTTATTTTATTTAAGTACCAGAGGTCCTGGCCAGTATAGCTAGAATTAAAAAAGAAAAACATAAAGACTGGAAAAGCAGCAATAAAGCGATCTTTATTTGCAGATGACATACTTGTGTAAGAAATCCAAGGAGACTGACAAATTACTAGAACAAGTAAGTGACTTCAGCAGGTTCACAGTGATGAAATAAAATTTGCATCTTAAGGCAGGAAAGAAAACGTAAACATAAAATTCACTCTCTGTGTCTGTTTGGGCCCCTCCCTCACGAGCAGAGTGCACCTGCTTCACACACTACCCAGAACTTCTCAAAGACAAGAACGTCTGTTCAACAAGTATCAATTTTTCCCCTTTCTTCTGACACTAACAATGTGGCTTCTTAAACGAATGGCGTTCTTTTTCAGCTCTGTAGGAGTCATAGTGACTAACTGCTCACTTTGCTCATGCTTACCTGACTATATATCGTTGGTGAATTTTATATAAAACAAGCATTTTGATGTACCATCCTTTGTTTTGAAAATGTATATGACTGTACCTTCGGCTTCTAACAGGCAAAACAGCTCTCAGAGCTTCTGAGAGTCTGTCTCCTGGGTTATAATCCTCGGTTTGGCTTGAATAAAATTTCCTTTTTTCTTCTAAACTTGATTGTTAATTAAATTTTCATCAACAATAGAATAGGTCAATTTTAAAATAAACTATATTTGTATACACTAGCAACAGACAATTAGAAAGTAAAATTAAGGAACAATAGTAATTACATCTGAAACTAATATAATATTGTAAATCAGCTATACTTTAATTTAAAAAATAATAAAATTAAAATTTGTTCCAGATGAAATAAAAAACAGCATTATAGAAAATTTTTAAAAAGGAACAATAGTACTCACAGTAGTACCAAAAATACCAAATGGAAAGCAATAAAGTTAATGAAAGATGTCCAAGACCTGTATACTTTAAAGGTGCAAAATACTGCTGAAAAAAAATTAAGTACCTAAACGATTAAACTATGATCAAGGAATTAAGGTGTAAATTCTTCCCCAACTGATCTGGAAGGCACTGCAAATCAAATTTGGTGGAATTTAACAGCTTGATATTTTCCAATTGACAAGCTGATTCTAAAATTTGTGTGAAAGTCCCAAAGACCTGGACAGCTAAGGCAGTTATCAAGTTAGACGCTGACTTTCACTACCTCATTTCAAGATTTACTGTGAAGCTACAATAATTAAGATGTGTAATGTTGGCCCTAGGCTAGAAAAACAGATCAATGGAAGAGAAGAGAGCAAAGAAATAGACTCCCCCGACACACATTCAATTGATTTTTACCAATGCAATGGAGGGAAGGTTTTTCATTACATGGTGCTGGAACAACTGGATTAACCATAAGAAAAAATAAATACCGTGTCTACAACCTCACACTTACATAAAAGCGAGGTGGACGTTAAGTCTTAATGTAAAAACAAAAACTATGAAACTACCAGAAGAAAACAGGATAATACATCTGGAGTCTTGGAATATTCAAAGATTTCTTAGGACATTTTAAAAACCGCCCCCCCCAAAAACTAACCATAAAAGAAAAGATTAATAAAATCAGGCCTTGTTAATCTACAATCCAGCAAGTCCACCCCTAGATATTTTCCCAAGAGAAATACAGAGATCCACTAAAATCAGTGTATAGGAATGTTCAGAGCAGCATTACTCATAATAGCCCCAAACTAGAGACAACCCAAATGTTCATCAACAGGAAATGAAACAAACTATGTATGGTTCATTCAAAAAATGGAGTCTTACTCAACAGTAACAAAGAAACGAACTAACGATGCATACGATCTCACAGATGAATCTCAAAAATCTCAGGGTAAGCCTCACACAAAAGAAGTAATGTATGATTCTCTTTATATGAAGTTCTACGAAACGCACAAGTAATCTGTGGTGGAAAAAGTCTGAACAGTGGCTGCCTTTATTAAGTCGAAAGAGGTCACAAGGGACTTTGTGAGGTACTGAAAGTGTCCTCAAGCTCGATTTGGATGATGATTGCACATATGTATACATATGTCAAAAATTACCAATTGTATACTTAAAATTTGTGCCTTTGAAAAAGTACCGTTAGCAGGTGCAGTTCAGTGGTAGAGCGTGTGCTTAGCACGCATAAGGTCCTGAGTTCAATCCCCAGTACCTCCATTAACTAATAAATGAATAAGCCTAACTACCTCCCCCCTAAGAAAGACCTGATGAAATAAAATTCGTATATAAAAAGGTATCATTAGCAAAAATATATAAAAAAGGCCTATTGTCTTCAACGTAACAGCAATGAGAGGAGGGCTGACTTCTCAACAGAAACCATGCCATCTAGAAAACAACAGCAGGGTGTCTTTAAAGAGCCAGAAAATAAAAAACCTACCTGCCTACAATGCTCTGCTTAAGGTATCTTTCCAGGATGAAGACAAAATAAAGGCACTTTCAGGGAAACAGAGTGGGGAATTTTGTCACTTGAAATGACAAACGGAGCTCTTCAGGCGAAAGGAAAATGATCCTGGGTGGAATCTTGGAACTACAAAGTGGGTGGAGAGTGCGAGAGAGAGCAGACGTGAAGGGAAACAGACACACTGAATGTGAAGACCCTTCCCCACCTCACCTGGGCAGGAATCCTGGGAGAGTCCTCTGTCCACTACCCATGGCTCCACTAGAAGTTCCAGTGGGGCAAGGAGAGCTGGGTTGGGGATCCAAGGCCCTGTCCAAGTGAGAGATCAGGCCATGAGGGTCTGGAATAGGAGAAACCCTCCTAGGGTTCACGGACCCCACACACCTACTCTGCCAAGACCCCTGCCAGGTGTAAGTCAACACAGGGACCAGATGCCCTAAGGTCTCCAGCATCCCATCGTGGTATAGGGTCCTCTGGCCAGGGCCCAGCAGCACCCACACCTCCAGGATGACGTCACAGCCATGTTATCCAAGGTTACTTGCCCCTCATTTGCCACCCACGTCTACTGGGCGGAGACCCTCATCTCTGCAAAGCTCCCAGAAGGGCAGGGAGGTACATGAGGACGTGAGGATGGACCCAGGTGTGCAGAGAGATGGCCTGCGACGGTTCTGGGTCTGAGGGCTGCGCTCGAGGCTTCCTGGGGGCTCCGGGAGAGGGGGTCTGAATCAGCCATTTTGGAGGGGAGCGCCCATGATACTGGAAAGTTTACCCCCTAAGAATCTCACCTATTTCCTGATAAACTAGGGATATTCCACAAGATCAAAATGTACAGGCCCCCTTTAGGATTTCCCTTCTGGTCCCCTTCCCTTTTTTTTTTTTTTTTTTCTTTTTTGTTTGTTTTGGGGGAGGTAATTAGGTTTACTTATTTTTTTTAAGGGCAGCACTGAGGATTGAACTCAGGACCTTGCGCATGCTAAGCGCACGCTCTACCACTGGGCAGTACCCTCCGCTTTGGTCCCCTTCCTTTTTATACCACTAGATATAAAAAGATGACGATGTCATCTGCTGGTAATAACGTTTAACATTTGCCCAGGGCGCTCCAGCCCGGGCGCAGTGCTACTAGCACTGGCTCTAACGCAAACGCACCTAACCCTCGAGACAGCCTGAGAAAAAGCAGTCGCTCCTCCTGGAGTCTCTTTGTTTGTCTTTTCAAAGGAGTAGCCTGAGCGAGAAGCGTCCAGCTTTCGGAATCATGGCGACGCCGGTTTCCTAAGAACTAACGGAAACGAAGTCCCTCTTTGAGGCACATGGGTCCAGGGGATGGCAATGTGCGGTAGCCGAAGCCTTCGGGTCAGGGGTCTTCTCGCTGGGGCCGTGTGACTCGGTCCTTAGCGGTGTTAGGACTGCACTTGAGGCCCTTAAGGGCTGCGGGGTCAGTTTTCTGCCTCTTATTCATCGCTCCTTGGCCAGAGGCCGCGCTGAGGGTCCCACCTTGGGGAAGTCCCTGCTCCCCAGCCTGGGACCACCCCAGCCCGTCTCGAGGGAGCGGCGCGGAGACTCACCGCGGGTCGGGCTGCCTGGACCCCTGCGGCCCCCATCTCTTCTGACTCCGGAGTCTCGACCGAGTCAGAGGTGGAATAAGCGAGTCAGAGACGTGGGGAGCAGTGAGGCCCAACCCTGGCCTCTCTGGGGCCCTATCAGTTCCCGACGGCGACCGGCCCAGACCCGGCCAGCCGACCCCGCAGCCCTCCAGAGCCCAGGCTGCGGACGCCAGACAGCCCGAAGCAGCACGCCCTCGGCGGGAACTACCACGACCAGAAGCCCCCGCGGCGCGGCGGCGCGACCAACGCGAGGGCGCGACGGGAGAGTCCGCAGAGTCGAAGCGCCGCCGTGCCGGGGATTCTGGGACTTGTAGTCCTGCGGCCGAAGCCCTGGACCTGGGCGTCCAGAGAGCTCGACTACATTTCCCAGAAAGCGCGGCGGCGCGGGGGGATGTCCAATGGGTGTGCGCGGCCGGGCCTTGGCTGGGCATGGGGCCCTCTGGGACTCATAGTCTAGGCTTCCAGGCCAGGCCTCGGCCGCCCTGAGGCCACACAGAAATGACCGTTGGGCGGGCGTCCACAGGGTCCAGGAAGCCTAGGTAAGAGCGTCCTGGGCGTTCTAGGGACTCATAGTCAAACTACCCTTGTCCACCAGGCGGCGCCTGTGTGCACCTAGAGCTTCGTACTACACCTCCCAGAGAGCTCCAGGGCACAGTGGGCGGGCCCGCTCTGCGTCTTTTGGGAGCGTGTTTCTGGGATTTGTAGTCCATTGTCTTCAGGCCAGGGCCTCTGGGATCAAGGCATTCTGGGAGTTGTAGTCCATTGTCTCCAGGCTGGTCTCCACCCATCTGGAGCCCACTGAGAGATTTCTAGGGACTGCTCTGAATGCTTAGCCTGCATCCCCTGGATTTGGGGATCCAGCGATGGGAGCCTTCCCACTTGAGAAGAAAAAGGCCAGGTTGCAGGAGAGGAGGTGAGGGCACTGGCCAGGGTCCAGAGGAAGGACAGGAACCGGGTCTTGTCGCTGAGGCTGGCCAGGGTGAACAAGTAACTGACCTGGGCAGGAGGGGGCCGTGGCATAAAGGAGGGGCCGTGAGAACAGGGAAGGGGCCTTCAGTGGGAGCTCGGGTGTGGGCTGACCGTGGGTTTAAACGAAGCGAGGTGGGCACTGTCACCATCTCGTTGCTGGCCTGCATCCCATGAGCGCTCTGCGCCCTGGGCATAAGGGGGTGGTAGTCACCCTACTAGGAGCAGCGCCTGGAGCACAGTCCTCACTCAAGGAACATCAGCAGCTGAGCCTGAAGCCCCTTCTGTCTTAAGTGGCGGCCTGTTGCGGTCCAGGCGCTGATGCAGGAGTCCAGAATCTGTATGTGCAATGTCTTCCAGGTCCGAACTTTGAGTAAGGAGGTCCTAGCCCACTGGGGGCACCCAGGGATAGTCTAGATAACTACAAAACGCTGATGCCTGAACCGGCTCCAGCAATCTGCTGTTCCACCGCCAGAGGGTAGTAATAACATAGGTTATAAATAGGTTCCACACTTAAGGGGAAGGCGTTCTTGGCCTGATTGGTTTATGGAGACGGATATGGGCTACTGTACTAGGGAAGAACAAATGTGACTCCATATGAGTTCTGTTTCTTCAGCCTTAATGCTGGACTGTTTCCTGTGCTTAGTCATGCTGGCTCCACACCTTTTGTAAAAGAATGTTGCCTATAGCTTGAAATATGTAGGAGAACCCATTCTAAAGGTTCTGGTCTTTAAAGATATAACACTGCCCCATTCATATAGGAACAAACAGTTGCAGAACAGACAATAACATTTGTCTTGTTGTAGGTTTACAGGGACACCATGACCTGACCCACGTGGACAGCTGCAACAAAGGATTCCGACCTCAAGAAGTTTGCAACAACCAACTACACTCCCCTCCCCATTTTCAGTATAAAAGCTTCCTGAATTCTAACTTGGGGAAGATGGTTCTCTTGGACGTTAATTCCCCCATCTCGGTCTGCTGGCTTTCTGAATACAGTTGTTATTCCTTACCCCAACACCTAGTCTCCCGATTTATTGTCATGTCATGTGGCAATCAGAACAAATTTGGACTCAGTAACACTGCCAGATTCAGCCAATAAAAATCAGGATGCCCAGTTCAATTAGAATTTCAGATAAACAATGAATACTATTTTCATGTATGTCCTATTCAATATTTTTGGCAAATTTTTTAAAAATTAGTCATTTCTTACGTGAAATCCAAATTGAACTGGGTATCCTGCATTTTATCTGGCAACAAATCCTACAAATATGGGAAAACAAAAGTTTCTTGAGGGGTGTTGAAGAAATGGAGTTTCTAATGCTTTAAATGTGCTTGAATATTTTTAAAAAGGTTTTTGCAGGGGGGGAGGTAATTAACTTTACTTATTTAGTTTTTTGATGGAGGTATTGGGGATTGAACCCAGGACCTTGTGCATGCTGGGCCTGCACTTTACCACTGAGCTACACTCTCCCCTAGCACATATTTTTACTAAAAAATTATTCATCTGAAATTAATATTTAACTAAGTATTGTCCTGTAATTTTTTTTCCTAAATTGAGGAACCCTAATGTGACACATATCAAAAATGACTCATACTAAATATAATTCTGTTAAAAAGTTCTGAAAATACAATAAATATGGGATGTACTTATACCAAAAAAAGTATTGACTGTTTATCTGGAATTTAAATTTAAGTGAGTAGACTGTGTTTTTATTTACTAAATTTGGCAACCCTACTATAGGACATAGTTACACTGAAAATTACTTATACACGTATATTTGTAAAGTTTTTGTGTTTATCATCTTTTGAATGTTGGGGATTTTTTATATCAGACAACAAAATTTGTTTTTCCTGTGCCTATTTCATGTTTATTTTTCAAGTAATGTTTACATGGTCCCAGAGCAGACGAGGCAATCCTTTTCCTCCCTTTTTCATAAATGGTAGCACCTCTTTGTTATTCTTGGGTTTTGATCACTTTTTAAAATTTGAAGTATAGTTGATTTACAATATCACATTAGTTTCAGGTGTACAACATAGTGATGAGTATTTTAATAGATTATACTCCATTTAGATTTATTACAACATAATGGCTGTATTTCCCTGTGCTGTACAATCGATCCTTGTTGCTCATCTATTTAAAGTTCTTCAAATACACTCAATGAGAAACATACTAATCCTAAAAAACAATTCATTGTTATCTGAAATTCAGTTCTTCTCAGGGTCTCTTGTATTTTTTCAGTTGGTAAATCTGGCAATCCTATTCTGGCCCTCTTCTCTCACTCCCTGCACATCTGGCTCACCCTGTGCCTTCCTCCACCTGCGTCCCCTGCAACACCCTGGTGCCCGCCCAGCAGGACCCTTCCCAGCCCCCTTGTCCAGCCTCCAGCCTTTGTCACAGAGCAGCTGCCTGCCGGGTCCTGGGTGCTGCTGGAGGATCAGGGCCCCTAGGGTTGGAGGAGGGGTGGGCACTGCTAGGCTTCGAGGCTCCTGAAATGATTATTCTTAAGGAAGTAATGTATCCAGAGGGCTATATAAACATTGGACCATATTTAAATGTATCTATGGAACAAATTAGCAAAAACGCAGCATAACTGCAGTCTTGCTCTCCATGATATAATTATAGAATTCCTTGAAAGCCACACTGATTTTTAATGTAACTGCTCAGGGTGGGTCCTGCCACAGCCACGGGGAGGGACACCTGTGGCTGGAGGAAGCCAAGACTGGACTTAGAAGGACCCAGCCAATGGTTACAACGTGGTCTCGGGGTGGGGAGGGAAGGCAGCTCAGATGTAGCCTTCAGTTTATCTTAGTTGACTGGCAGAGTGTTTTTAAAACCTTTGAATTCCCTGCCAGCTTCTATTTCTCATTTTGGGGTTTTTGGGGGGGTGGTAATTAGGTTTATTTATTTAATGGAGGTACTGGGGATTGAACCCAGGACCTTGTGTATGCCAAGCACACCCTCTACCACTGATGTATACCCGCCTCCCCTGCCAGCTTTTACAAATCAAGAGATTTCACACACAAATCCAAATCTTTGGTTTCTTTTGAGAAATCCAGACCTGTCCCCAAGGCACCTCATGGCTGGGGTTATGAGCAGCAACCCTTTTAGAAAGAGTCCAGGCCCTACAGGCATTTAAGCCTGTGAAAGTTGGTTGGGGAAAAACAAGGATTCAAAGGCCAGAGGCAGGTGGCAGAGGGGCAAGTCCAAACGGAAGCGGGCAGGGACCTGAGCCAACTTCAGGGCAGGCAAGTCTGGTTCCACACCACCGTCAGCTCATCACCAGGAGTCATCTCAGACCTTTGGGGGAAAAGATATCATCATGAGAATTGTGTCCATACCTTTTGATCCAGTAAAGGGTACACATTTTGTGGAAGAAAAAGTTAACAAAAAAATTGTCTTTCTTTGCACTTGGATTTGCAGGTGAGGGAACTGATAATTGATGTTTTATATACATTTTAAAGCTTTCTGGGAGGGGTGAGGATATAGCTCAGTGGTACAGTGTGTGCTTAGCGTGTACAAGGTCCTGGGTTCAATCCCCAGTACCTCCATTAAAAAACAAACAAATAAACCTAACCCCCGCCCCAAAAATGCTTTCTTACTGCAGTAGAAAGAAGGGTAGTTTCAGTACAGCAATCACAAATGTGGGCCTTTATACTCTCTAAATGTGCTGGACACCCTTAAAGAAAAGCTAATGAGCTTGCCTTTGCTTTGTTTACATCATTGTGTTCTGACTTTGGGGATCTGTCATATCTTGTCGTAACAACAACTGTTACAGTGCTTACGAGATTTAAAGTCTTTCACTCATGTGTGAATCAGCCAAATCCTTTTGAGAGTCTCTATATGTGTAAAGAAAATGTAATCAGCTAGGTTTTTTCCTAACATGAGAATTCTTACTATCTCTCTCTCGTTTTCAGAGTCAGAGATTTTTCAAAGAAATAGTTGTTTTGGGCAAAGAATACATGCCCTTGTCTTGAAACTTTTTCTCAGCTTCAAATCCAGCAGGCGAGCCCTGACTGATCTGAATCGATCAGTCGTTTCTTCAAAGGGCAAACACACGTGGCTCAGCGTTGGTCAGATTCTTCCTACTCACTGCTCCATGGATGTTCCACGTGCATTTGTGAAAATTAGCCCAGCTCAGGTGGGGAATGGTGAATGCCCTCACCTCGTCCACTGTTGGCTGCTGTACCATGGGCCTTCTGCCCGGTGGGCCTTGGTCAGTGTTCGCCAAATGTCG